GAGATTGTATCCAAGCTCAAGTAACCTCCTTATTAGACATTTTGCTACAGACAAGCCAAGTAATTATACCATTACACTACCTTTTCTACTTTCTTTTCAAGGATATCTTTCATTATTTTGCAAAGATCCTCAAACTTGGCTTTTTTCTCCTCTTGTTTCTTCTTCTCTTCTTCATCTTCTGGAAGCTCCAAACCCTCTTTTGTTACAGAAACCAGGGTCTTGCCTTCAAATTCCTTCAGCTGCTGCACACAGTACTCATCAATAGGCTCGATCATATAGATCACTTCCAGGCCATGTTTGCGAAGACGCTCCACAAAAGCAGAGTTGGCCACCTGATCTTTTGTTTCACCTGCAAGACAAGACAACTCCAGTTCTGTTCAAGCCTCAACACTACAACATGGTGACATTTCTTTTCTAGAATAGCCTGTTTACATCTCCAGTCATGCTTCACAGATAACCCTCGAGAAAGATGAGGACATGAGCCAGCCTGATCTTTTTAAGAACTGGTTTAAGAGCCACAAAAGTCTTTCCAAACTCAGAGCTGAAATACTTGAGTTGAAAGTTAACTTTACATCCACTGCCTTGTCTTGGCTAGTGATCTATATGCAGGGGAACCAGGGGAACTTAGTTGCATACAGATTGAAAATAGTAACTTTTTAAAGGATTATACTGTTGCATTCAGATTTTAAGGTCAGTTCTAAGTGCAAAAAGAATACTGCCATAGTTTCTATATTCTCATCCCAAATGAAACTATTTATGTACTTTTCACACGCTACTTCTGTTTCCAACTCACCAGTAATGTAGTAGACATGTTTCTGGTTCTCCTTCATGCGAGTACAGTAGTCTTTTAGAGAAACCATTTCATCACCAGAGGCAGATGTGTAATACCTCAGTAGTTCTGAGAGTTTCTTGCGGTTCTGGGAGTCTTCATGTATGCCAAGCTAAAAAAACAAACAAGGGAAGGCCAAAATATCAGGTGACTGCTTTAAATAAATACTTAACTGCAATAGTTCAGTACTATACAAATACATAAAAGGTAGCTTTTACTGTCAGTATTGCTCATTAAGCAGAAACTACAAACCTTGATGTTTTTGGAGAACTGCTCATAGAACTTTTTGTAGTTCTCTTTGTCCTCAGCCAATTCAGTGAAGAGCTCCAAGCACTTCTTCACCAAGTTCTTCCGTATCACTTTTAGGATCTTGCTTTGCTGCAGCATTTCACGGGAAATATTTAGAGGCAGATCCTCAGAATCCACAACACCTCTCATGAAATCTGCAACAAGATGGTGAGAATAAACATCACAGATCTCAAGGAAAACAAATTATCCAGTTAAGCAACTTTTTCATCTAACCTTTTTT